GATTACAGGCGTGCACACTGTGCCTGGCTAATTCTGTATTTTTAGTAGAGATGGGCTTTGCCATGTTGGCCAGGCTGGTCTCAAACTCCTGACCTCAAGTGATCCACCTAACTTGGCCTCCCAAAATGCTGGGATGACAGGTGTGAGCCACTGCACCCAGCCCCTTTGTCCTTAGTCTTATAGTCACAAAGGTCTGTCTGGGTATAACCTAGATACCTCTTGCTATAATCCCTGCTCCTTCTTCTTTCTCTCTCTCTGTCTCTCTTTTTTTTCTTTCTTTCCTTTTTTTTTTTTTTTTTTTCTTTTGAGATAGGGTCTTGCTCTGTCACCCTGGCTGGAATGCAGTGGTATAATCACAGCTCACTACAAACCTTGACTTCCCAGGCTCAAGTGATGCTTGTACCTCAGCCTCCTGAGTAGCTGGGACTACAGGCATGTGCCATTGTGCCTGGCTAATTTTTCAATTTTTATAGAGATGGAGTCTCTCTATGTTGCCCAGGTTGGTCTCGAACTCCTGGCCTCAAATGATTCTTCTACCTTGGTATCCCAAAGTGCTGGGTTTACAGCCATCATGAGCCTTTGTGACCAGCCCTCCTTTCATTTTCTGTCCTTAAGGAAGATGGAAAACAGTAGCCAGTTAGTCTTTATCCAGACCACATCTTGTACTCTTTCTCTAATGCCAAATAAATATACTGTGTGGACTCATGGTTCTCACTGGACTTGTGGGGCTAAGTTTAGGGCACAAAATAATGCCTTGATCAAGGGTGGGTTTAAGGAGATATTTTCCAACCATCTCTCACTGCTATTAGGGTCATGCTTCCACTCCCCAAATCCTAGTAATTGGCTAGACAAGTGCTTTTCCACCAACTGTGGTCCTCTAGAACCCTTCAGAGCCTCTTCTGCACTTCTCTTCACCCTGTACCCATGAGTCACTGAGCCGAGTTCTTGGGAACAGCTTCCACACCCAGGCTTCTGGGTTTCTGACTCACGAAAAGTCAAATGAATGGCTCTGGGGTATGAGAAACAGACACTGCATCTGGGGGTGGATACTCCACAGAAGCTCCAGTGTCTCCCTGGAGAAACAAACTATCCAGCTCCTTGTACTGGCACACTGGGAGTAGCTGTACAGATATAGTTAGACCACCCAGTGGAAGGCAGGTCCTGAAACTACTGCCTGGCTGTTTTAAAGAAGGTCCAAGCAAAGCAAATATTAGATAGATCCCTTAGGAATCTGTGTCACCCAAGCACAGGACAGTGTCTGGCTTGGAATGGGAGTGGGGGACAGGGTGATGATGTCATCCGTTAATTCTCAATCTTGCAACTCAGCAGTGTATGCTCTTCCTACTTACTAGTGCTGTCAGCAGCTCTAGTTTTCCTAAGTGGGCAACAATGAACTTGTTTGTTCACAACACAGCTTTGTAAGCAGTTAGTCTCCTCCCTGGCAAAGCCCACTCTGGAAAGGCCTCGACTTTGTTACATTGTGTGCACACAGGGGACACATAGAGCCATGTACACAGGGTACAGGAATACACCCAGAGACTTGAGAACACAGGCACATCCAGACAGACAGACATGGACACAAAGGCAGATGATGTAAACACACACACAAGCACACACATACATAGAGGCACAAGCATACAAGCACACCAAAGCCAAACAGTGTTAGAGCTAGAGAGAATCTTAGAAGTCATTTAAGAAATTTAGCCCTCTTATGTTACAGGAGAGGAAACTGCAGCCAAGTGAAGGAACTACCTATGATCACACAGCTGCTTTTTATTATTTCTTTCTTTCCTGTGCCCTTTTGGTTTAATTTGTTCTTTCTTCAGATTCTTAAAGTGGAAGCTTAAATCATTGACCTAAAATTTTTCTTCTTTCTTACTATAGGAATTTAAAGCTGTAAATTTCATTTAAAGCTCTGCTTTAGCTGCATCTCACAAATATTGATATAAATGTTGTATTTTCATTATTATTTAGTTTCATTGCTCTGATGATTTCTGAATCAACTCATGAGTAATTTAGGAGTGTGTTGTTTAATTTCCAAATATCTGGGGCTTTGCTAGATGGCTTATTGCTACTGATTTTAAAATTAGTTCTGTTTTTGGTAAGAAAACACAATTTGCAGCATTTAATTTTTTTTTTTTTTGAGACAGAAGTCCTGCTCTGTCGCCCAGGCTGGAGTGCAGTGGCCAGATCTCGGCTCACTGCAAGCTCCGCCTCCCGGGTTTATGCCATTCTCCTGCCTCAGCCTCCCGAGTAGCTGGGACTACAGGCGCCCGCCACCTCGCCCGGCTAGTTTTTTGTATTTTTTTTTAGTAGAGACGGGGTTTCACTGTGTTAGCCAGGATGGTCTCGATCTCCTGACCTCGTGATCCGCCCGTCTCGGCCTCCCAAAGTTCTGGGATTACAGGCTTTAGCCACCGCGCCCGGCGTTTTTGGTTTTTTTTTGTTTTTTTTTTGAGACAGTCTCGCTCTGTTGCCCAAGCTGGAGTGAAGTGGCGATCTCGGCTCACTGCAACCTCCGCCTCCCGGTTTCAAGCAATTCTCCTGTCTCCGCCTCCCGAGTAGCTGGAATTACAGGCACACACCATCACGCCCAGCTAATTTTTGTATTTTTAGTACAGACGGGGTTTCACGATGTTGGCCAGGCTAGTCTCAAATTCCTGACCTCAGGTGATCCACCCGCCTCAGCCTCCCCAAGTGCTGGGATTACAGGCATGAGCCACCGCATCCGGCTTTTTTTTTTTTTTTTTGGAGACAGAGCCTGGCGCTGTTTCCCAGGCTGAAGTGCAGCAGCGCAATCTCGGTTCACTACAACCTCTGCCTCCTGGGTTCAAGAAATTCTGCCTACTAGCTGAGATTACAGGCGTTTGCCACTATGCCTGGCTAATTTTTACTATTTTTAGTAGAGATGAGGTTTCACCATGTTGGTCAGGCTGGTCTCCAACTCCTGACCTCAAATGATCCTCCTGCCTTGGCCTCCCAAAGTGCTGGGATTACAGGCATGAGCCACCATACCTGGCCTTTTGCAAAATTTAAATTTTTTAAATGAACTGAGACTTATTTTATGGCCCAGCCTAATGGTCTCAGTTGGTAAATTATTGATATGCACCTGAAAAGAATGTGTATCTGGAGTTCTCAAGTGTGGTTTTCTATCAACATCAATTAGGTCAAGAAGGTTTACAGTATTGTTCAAGTCTGCTACATCCTGACTGATTTTTTTTGTCTATTTTTTCTATTCTTTATTGGGAGAGTAGTGTTAAAGTTTCCAACTATCCAGTTCCAAAAGGCCACATATAATATGATTCCATTTATATGAAATGTCCAGGATATCCAAATATATGTACACAGAAATTAATCTGTAAAGGCTGAGTATGGTGTGGTTTCCAAAGTCTGTTAATCCCAGCAATTTGGGAGCTCCGAGGCGGCAGAACCATTTGAGGTCCAGGAGTTTTCAAAAACCCAGCCTTGGCCAACTGGTGAAAACCCTCCATCTCTCACTTACCAACTTACCAACAATCCATTTCCACACTTCAACGCACATTTCAATTCACAAATGTATTATTTTTTTTTTTTTTTTTAATGGTAGAAACAGGGTCGCTTCTAATGGTTTGCTCAGGCTGGGTCTCAACTTCCTTGCTTCAAGCAATCCTCCAGCTTTGGCTCCCCAAAGTGCCTGGGGTAAAGGGCAATGAGTCACTCGTGGCCTGGCCACAATGTACTAATCTTACAATAGCAGTAATTCCAATTTACCTGCCCCCGCTTGCGCCTTTGGTGCCATTGTCAAAAACGTTTTACTTTTTATGTGTTTTTTAAAGTCAACTTTATGGCCAATAAGGGGGCTAGTCCATAAGTTGGGATTTAAAATACACTCAAAAAGAAGAAAGTTACCGACAGTGGGCACA